TATATATATATGAGAGAATCTATATTACCGTAGAGCCTGTGGGGCAGTGGTGGCCGGCGGCCTTACAGGCCCAAAGAGATTGTCCCTGAGCGTCAAACGTGCCGCCTGAGATAGTGAGTCCTTCCACGTTCTTGAAAGTTATCCACTCTGGTTTATCCACTCTGGTGCGTGTCAGTATCCGGAGTTTCTAACAATGTTGCCCTTTATGAGCACCTGGACGTCGCCATTGTTACAAGGACCCTTAAATAAAGCCTGGCTCACCCTGAAGTCTCCCTCCGGCACCACCAAAGTCGCCGGCTCTTTGTCGCCGCAGGCCTCACTCCATGCATCCAAAAAAGCCGGTGCAGAGTCACTATGACCATCCGGCTTTGCGCCAAAGCTCAGCACATTATAAGCCGCCATTGTCGCGGTGAAGAAGGAGAAGAAAAGAACAAAGGCGGAGGTCAGTTGAAGTGCCATTGTGAGAGAGCCGAGAGAGTGAGAAATGGTGAGATAGTATAACGGTTTAAGGTCTGTTATATAGTATAGAGAGGAGAAGGTGAAGAGGGTGAGATTGAATAATTAGTTGGGTAATTAAGGAGCAATTATAGCATTAATTTGAGGCAATTGACAAAATGGAATTCGAAGTGATGCTGAGGTGAGGTTGAAGAAAAAAAGGGAAACATTTTTTCCTCGCTAAACGTTCATGCAAGTCAATGAAATAATTTAGAGGCCATGTGGTATTAAGTTAGTATTTGTCATCAATGTAATAGTATCTTTGTTTGGGATGTCAAAAAACATCTAAAGTTTCACAATAATTTGTGCTCAACTTATAAAGAAACTCATGTCAGGCTCTGCACTTGATTAAGCAAGCTAATATTGAAGTATTGTTTAAGTTCATTTTCTCAATGAGCTAGCCCCATAGGGCATATTTATTTTTTTTCATAGGTTTGAGTTAGGCTTCAATTCAAATGAGCCAAACACAAATTCAATGTTTATTAATAATTTGAAAGTTGAGTTGATTTCAAAATTTAAAATTTCAAATAAGAAAAAAGGGGTGTAATAGAGTCAACTTGTTCTTGTGTTAGGGCTGACTAAAGCTCAACTTTGTCTACTCCATTGCATGCTTGAGCTCTCATACGATGGGCTTGATCTTGCTCTGTTGCAAAAATAGTGGGCTCACTATAGAAAAAAATAGCTTAAATTGAAAGAAAAACTGACAGCTTTATATGTGTAAAAAATTTAATTTTTATTTTCGAATCCTTATTGACAGTCGTAAGGGAATCGAGTTTCTTACGAATTATTTATTGCTTAAATCGTAGCATGTAAGTGAACAGTGTTTCTGAAGGTTTTGAGATTGTCACCGACAGTCAAAAAGTTATGACATAGTTTTTTTATTCATTAATAACCAACGATATGTCATGTCGTCGTAATCGATAATTGAGTCTGTCAGTCATGTCGTTGTAATCGATAACTGAGTACGTCGGTCATTAATAAATTAGTAACCAACGAACAACTGACTGTTGGAAAGCTGTCGCCAACGTCCAAAATCCCTCATTTCACTCTTGCCCGTGTGCTTAGCTTCGAGAGCCGACCAGGTGCTCTTGGATCGTATTTTCACTAATGTTAACGATTTCTTAAGTTCTTATAGTCAAATCATAAATAATTTTAATTCCAATCTTCCTCTAAATTTATATTTAACTAATTCAGTTAGTTTTTTTAAACATTTTGAGACTTTCTATTTTGGAGAAATTTAAAGTTTTGATTTGATTTTCTATAGTTTTGATGATGTATTTGATTGTTACATGCTTTGTGTTCATCTCACAAGTCTTTTCTTATACAACACCAAAATTTCAATGTGAAATTTGCATACATAGTTAACAAATCTTATGTTTTGTCTATCTCGCACCAGCATTTCGATATTTAAATATAGAATACTTTAGTTCTTTAAATCCATGCATGAAAATTTGTCTTTCATTTTTTCGAATTAAAATTTTTGAAATTATTATTTTTGACGTGATATTAAACCATGTAGTGCAATGTTTGCAGATGTGAAAGTTTAAGACTTAGATATAGTGCTTTAAATGTATGCATGAAAATATGTATTTTACTTTATTAAAAGTAATAATAGTGTTATTTCTAATGTGATATTAAAGTTTGGAATGTTATGCGTCAAAATATCAAAGTTTAGGTTTGAGATATGTAAATACATACGAATTATGTGACATGAAACTAAATTCCCTTTTATATATGCATGACACTTCAGTGCTTTAAACCTATACATGAGAAAGTTTATTTCACATTTAAAATTTGGAGATATAATGTTTTTGATGTGATACTAATGTTTTGATTGCTATGTGTGTGAATATAAAAGTTTAGGTTTGATATCTATAAATACATAATAATTGTATGCTATGCATGTAAATTGTCCTTTTTAAAGACAAATTCGCATACCTAGCAAAAAATTCTTATGTATTTATGCACCTTGCAATTAACTTTCAAATTCGCATAGTAATTATGATAAAAATATTACTTAGAGTATGATAAAGAGAGTGAAATGAGAGAACCTTTATATTTTGTGTTAAAGTTTCCAAACTGTTTATTTTTTTATAAGTGCAATGTTGTATGTTCAT